TGTGAGCAAATGGGTGTGCCAATAAACCTTTATTTACAAATGCAGGCGCAGGGCCAGGGTCTCCGGACTATGTCCCAGAATCCAGCCAGCACTGAAGAATTCTGCAAATGCAGAGGTCTTCTGTCCAAAGTGTTCCATGGCCAGGTTTTAACAAAAACATACTGAGACCAGCAGATGGCATAACGGTTATGTTGCTGGACTCCCACATGGCTGACTGAGGTTCGAGTCCCATGCTCTGCAGTTTGAAACTCACATCAGGTGTGTGTATGTTCGTGTCCAAGATCCCAAGAGCAGAATGGAGAAAGGATGGTGGCGTGGTCACCCCCCGCAGGAGGGCATTTCTTACGTCCTGTCTCTCTCTGTCCAGTGAATGCACATGCACTATATCAAAAAATCTCTTTTAAAAAAATTTTTAAAATCAATAAAACAGGGGGGACCAGCAGTTAGCGTAATGGCTATGTCGCTGGACTCCCACGTGGTCGACCATGGTCTGCGTCCCGGACCCGGTGGCTTAAAACTCACGCCGGGCACATGTTCCCAAGATCCCGAGAGGAGAATAGAGGAGAAGGGATTGGGGCGTGGACATCCCCCCTGAAGGGTGATTTCTTGCTTTCTGTCTCTATGTCTCTGTCTGTCTGGCGAGCGCACGCGCCCTATAGCAAAAATATTCTAAAACAAAATTAAAACTAAATAAGTAAATAAAACAGGGGATCAGCAGATGGCATAATAGTTATATCGCTTGATTCCCATGTAGTCGATCGTGGTTCGAGTCCCGGACCCAGTGGCTTAAAACTCATGCTGGGTGGGTGTGCGCCCAAATTCCCAAGGAGAGACTGGAGAAGGGATTGTGGCATGGTCATCCCCCCAGGGGGTGATTTCTCTCTTTCTGTCTGTCTGTCTCTCCAATGAGCACGCGTACCCTATAACAACAACCTCCACTAAAAACCCCCCACGCTGAGGGCAGTGACCTCGGGACAGAGTAGGATCATGGGAGCAAAACACCCGAGTCTTTCTGCCCAAGTCCCAGCAGGGTATGACAGGGTCTTCTCTCAGATGGTTCTGTCTGGCCACATCCCAGCACCATCCTCTGACACTGTGGGGGGCTCAGTGCCTGGTCTCGGCTGTAGCACGGCGGTGGGGGGTGCAAAGGTCAGCTGGGAAGTTGTCACGGGAGCACGCGGACGAGCTGCCGACAGCCCGCGGGGGGGGGGGGGGGGGGCGCCCTCCTGGCC